TGGGAGCACGGGGGTGACCTTGGAAGGCCTCTTGGGGCCGCGTGGGGGCGAGGGGAAGAGGAGGAGGAGAAGGAGGAGGAGGAGGAGGAGGAGGAGGAGGAGGAGGAGGAGGAGGAGGAGGAGGATGAGGAGGAGGAGGATGAGGAGGACGAGGACGCGGATGAGGACGAGGACGAGGAGGACGAGGACTTGGATATGGACGACGCGGACGAGGACTCATGGAACCATCTAGAGGGATTCTTGCGGCTGCTGCTGCTGCTTGTGCTCTCTTGGAGTTTTGGGGGCCCTCTTGGAACCTTCTTAATGACCCTGGAAGGCTTCTTGGGATCATCTTGGAGGCCATCGATTACAGGATTGGGGGGGTCCCCAACTCAGCTCCCCCCCTCAGGAGCCGGCAACCCGCCTCTTTGGGCTCTCTGGGAGCGCTCTTGGGCGCTCTTGGAGCGGTCTTGGGGGCCGTTTGGAGCATCTTGGGAGCCGTCTTTGATGGGCCCGGTTTCCACCACCACTACCATAGGTAGGACCGTCCTCCTCCTCCTCCTCCTCCTCCTCCTCCTCCTCCTCCTCCTCCTCCTCCTCCTCCTCCTCCTCCCTCTCCTTCTCCTACCTATTGTAGTGGTGGTGGGAAATCGGGCCTCCAATCTTGAGCCAGCTTGGGCTATCTGAGCCATCTTCCTCTTGGGCTCTCTGGGGCCCCTCGGGGGCCAACGCCCGGCCCGCCCTCTCGACCGGCCTCGGGGTGCGACGGGGAGATATTTTGTGAAGGAACAGGACAGGAACAGGAGGAGGGAGGAGGAGGAGGGAGGAGGAGGAGGAGGAAGAGGCGGGAGGAGGAGGAGGAGGAGGAGGAGGAGGTGGAGGAGGAGGAGGAGGAAGAAGAAGAGGAGGAGGAAGAGGCGTTGGGGGAGGAGGAGGAGGAGGAGGAGGAGGACGAGGAGAGGAGGAGAAGGAGGAGGAGTGGAGGTGGAGGAGGAGGTGGGGTGGAGGGGAGGCGGAGGCGGCGGTGGGGGAGGAGGAGGAGGAGGAGGAGGAGGGGAGGAGGGGAGGAGGAGGGAGGGAAGGAGGTGGAGGAGGAGGAAAGGGAGAATGAGTAAGGTGGGAAAGAGGAGTGGCGGGGAGGAGGCGGATGAGGACAGGGTGGAAGGAATCCTTCGGAGGGCTTGGAAAACGCTTAAGTGATTTTAGAGATTTTATGGGGAGTGTCAGGGGGTTTGGGGGAGCATGCGGATGAGGAGGGGGATGACGGCAAGGAGAAGGGAGCCCCCCGGATGTTTCATAGGAGAGTTAAGGGTATTCTACGCGGCTCCATGAGAGCATCACGGGTTCAGCCAGGGTGAGGGAGGATGGGGGAGAAGCAAGAGAAGGATGTGCTAGAGTGTCTCATGGGATCCTAGGGGTGAGACGTTCGGGGGAGGAAAATCCTCTTCCCCTTTGGAATGCTCCCCCGCGCGGCCTATTGACCGGAGGAAGATAATAAGTAGCATGGTTAGACGTAGCTTCAGTAACCAGCAATGCTACGAGGCGCAGAACAGGCGGAAGAGGAGGAGGAGGAAACATACTTTCAGCCGTGGCACCATAACTCACCAGCTGTTCTAGATAAGATGGCCAGCCTCGCAGCGCCGTGTGCTACTTGAGTACCTCAGCCATCGCTGGCACTTGCGCTATTGAATCTCCAGGCTTAGCGGGAGGGGTAGGTCTCTGGGTGACATGGGATAGGGGTGGGGAAGTACTCGGAGGCACCCCACCTTGGGTCTCTGTGTGCAGGCCCTCCCTGCTTAGGGACCCTGCGCCACCCAAGGAGCCACACTTTCAAAGCCCTCATCTTCTGGCAGCACTTGCTCTTTCCTGTTTAAAATGCTGTTTGCAGCTTACTGCCATTTTGCCACCTCGGTATGGGGAGAGCCCCATGTTTCCTCCCAGTGTGGACTCCCGACATCACCACACCCAGTGGTTTACTCTTCTCGGCCGAATTGTGCCACTGTGCCACACTAGTGTCGCTTGCTCTGTTATTTCTTCTTACCGCACACCACACCCTGGCTACTGCTAGCCTTGACTCACTTTGGTGGGAACGGACGGTTGTACGGAGCTGGGTTAGGGGGCGAGTATGACACCAAACGGTCACACCTTTCGCCCTGCTGCCTGGCCACCCTGTTCTCCCGTCTGGGACATAGGAACTTGTGCCGACAATACTCGCAGACATCATATTGCTACATCTACGTATTGTATTGCACGCGTATATCGGTACTCCAGGTGTCTCCCTCTTGCTACCCTCGGTGTTGCTTTACACTGTTTTGGTCGCCTATTGCTTTGTTGTTATATCCCTCCCAGCGGCAGCTCGCTTAGTTAGTCTACCCCTCTAGGGCCACATTCTTTTCCCGCTTCTTCTTGCACTTCCTCATCCGCACTGGCGGCTGCCTCGACTTGCTTGCCCTCGCCTGAGTAGATTTTTTTTTGTTCCTTGAGGTCTCGCACTGTGTTTTTCACGACTCAACAAGCACCGTGAATCATGTCCCAAAGGCGTCGAAAAGGAGTAAGAGGAGGAGGAGGAGAAGGAGGAGGAGGAGGAGAAGGAGGAGGATAATAGTAACAGAAAGACAAGCAGTTCGCAGAAGCTCAGGGAAACCGCGGAGGACAGAGAGACCCGGTAGAAGCCAGACGCTTACAGAGAGGGGCGGCTGAGGCAAAGGGACGGACGTGCGACGCCGCGTGGCGACTCTGATGCGGCCAACAATCACGGGCGATGATTTCGTGGAAAAGTAATCCGGCCTTGCTGTCTCGTCGCCACCGCCGCTGCCCCTCTCGCGCGAGCCCGTCGTCGCCGTCCTCTTCGTCGTCGTCGTCGTCGTCCTCGTCGTTGCCGTCGTTGTCGTCGTCGTCGTCGTCGTCGTCGTCGTCGTCGTCGTCGTCGTCGTCGACAGTCTCTCTCTCTCTCTCTTTCTCTCTCTCTCTCTGTCTTGCGCCCTTGCAGGCCCAGGCCAATGCCCGTCTCAGCATCCTTGTGCAGCCGCTGCGGTTCCTGGCAGACCCCAGGGCTCCCTTCTGAGAGCAGGCATCCGACCAGGACCGCCGAGAGACAGTGCAGGCTCCTCGCTTAGAGGCCTCTTGGAGGCATCGTGGGGGCCGTTTGTAGGCGTCGCAGTGGCCTCTTGGAGGCCTCTTAGAGGCCTCGTAGCGATGCCCCCCCCCCGCTGGCGGGGCGGGAGACGTGCCCAGGTCACCCGCAGAGGCGCGACGAGATGGCTACGCTTCGCGGCCCCGGCAGGGGAGAGGTGCCCTTCTCCAGGTGGTCGGTGGCGCGAGGGCGAGCAGATGCCTGCGCTCTGCGCTCCCGTCTGCCGCGACGCGCGGAGGAGGAGGAGGAGGAGGAGGAGGAGGAGGAGGAGGAGGAGGAGGAGGAGGAGGAGGAGGAGGAGGAGGAGGAGGAGGAGGAGGAGGAGGAGGAGGAGGAGAGGAGAGGAGGAGGAGGAGGGAGGAGGAGGAGGAGGAGGAGGAGGAGGAGGAGGATGAGGAGGAGGAGGAGGAGGAGGAGGAGGAGGAGGAGGCGGAGGAGGAGGAGGAGGAGGAGGAGGAGGTGGAGGTGGAGGGTGGAGGCGGGAGGAGGGTCGGAGGGGGGAGGGGGGAGGAGGAGGGGAGGAGGAGGAGGTGGAGGAGGAGGAGGAGGAGGAGGAGGTGAGGAGGAGGAGGAGGAGGAGGAGGAGGAGGAGGAGGAGGAGGTGGAGGCGGAGGAGGCGGAGGAGGAGGAGGAGGAGGAGGAGGAGGAGGAGGAGGAGGAGGAGGAGGAGGAGGACGAGATTTGTGCGCGCCGTCCGGCGGGGGCGGAGGTGTGGCGCAATGACAGAGCTCGCTGCCTCACAGGCCACGCGGCAGCCTTCACAGGAGGGTGGCTTGTCTCGCGAGAGCGAAGGTCATCCTTGGCGGCCCAGTCGACGCGACTAGCTGCCAGGCTCCAAGGGCGGCGCCACCGCCTCCTTCTGTTCAACAGTCAAGACGCTAAAATAATGACCACTTTGGGCTCAGGCGAGGCGCTGGCTTTCGGGCCGTCCCTGAGGTCTAGGTCAGGAAACCGACTCGAGGCCGAGGCTAGCCATGGCCAGACAATCCACTTCGTTCTTCGTTCAGCGTTCCTTATCGTAGCACGACTGCTGTGCAACCAGGGCGCTGGAGTAAAAACCGCCGATTCCTGTGGTGAGGCTCTGTCCTCCACTGCCCTCAGCCCCAGTGCTCGCTCTCCGCAGTCCGCCGCCGCCGCCACTCTGCTCGGCTCGGCCCCCCTGCCTTCGACCGTATCTCCCTGGCCCTGGTGTCGTTGCCGATGTCGTTGGCCCCGGCACGCATCGACTCGTCGCCACCATGGCTGTCTTTTTTTCCTTCCTGCCTGCTCCTTCTCCTCCTTCTCCTCCTCCCCTCCTCCTCCCTCCTCTCTCCTCCTCCTCCTCCTCCTTTCCTCCTCCTCCTCCTCCTCCTCCCTCTCCTCCTCCTCCTCCCCCTCCTCCTCCTCCTCCTCCTCCTCCTCCTCCTCCTCCTCCTCCTCCTCCTCCCCGCCACGCATCGCATCGTCGCCATCACGGCTGTCTTGTTTTCCTTCCCGCCTATTCCGCGCAGGGTGGCACACCGTCGCGCGTGCCTCCTCGTCCACCTCCTCTCGGTGATACGAGGCAGCGCCTCCTGGGAGCCGTTCCGCCTGCGCCCACTTATCCCCCTGTTGTGCTGTTGTCGCGCCTCCCCCCGCCCAGGCTCGCAAAGAGAAAGACTCTTGCTCCGCCTGCCGCGCGGGGTGATATCAGTGCATGCCTCTCTAGTCTATGCCACGAATCTCTCTGCCAGTCGAAATGTCCCTGTGCCGACACGTCAGGGATCGTCGAGTAGGCCCGAGGATGAGTGGGTACAGAGGCGCTGAGAAGCAGGCACCCGTTCCGCCTGCGCCCACTCATCCTCTTTTTGTGCTGCCTTTTTCGCCTTTCCCCGCCCAGGCTCGCAAAGAGAAGCAAAGAGAAAGACTCTTGCTCCGCCTGCCGCGTGGGGCGACATCCTTGCACGCCTCTCTAGCTATGCCATATCTCTGCCAGTCGAAATGCTCCTGTGCCGATACGTCAGGGCTCGTCGGCTAGGCCTGAGGATGAGTGGGTACAGAGGCGCTGAGAAGCAGGCACCCGTTCCGCCTGCGCCCACTCATCCTCTCTTGTGCTCTTGGTAGCTCCCCCCAGCCCAGGCTCGCGAAGAGAGAAAGGGCTCTCCGCCGCCGTGCAGTGTCATGTCTGTATGCTGCTGCCTGGCCAGAGGTTGAGGCTGGAAGCCCAGGAGCCAGGACGCGGGCTCCAAATTTAACCGCCAGTCTTGCCAGCATCGCTTGTCTCGGGCCTTCGATTTTTCGTTGTCCCTGTTTTTCGGTTCGGTCCCTCGCTCGGCTCTGTTGGGTCCTGGTCCGTCCCTCGCTTCTTTCGGCCCTTCCTTCGGGCCCCTCGCTCGTCGTTTCGGCGCCGCGGGCAGGAGTGTTCGGCAGACGATCACCCGCGCGCAAATCAAAAAAACGCCTCCTGGGAGAGAGGCCTTGACTGGAGGAGGGGCGGAGGCGAGGCGCTTGCCCAGTGTGCCCGCCCGCTCAGACTAGCAGAGGGCTACTCCAGATTTCGTAATAAAATGGAGGGGGTCTGGACCCTCCAAGACAAGTGATTTCAGACCTCCCCCGTGGGAGAACCCTCCAAAACATCGTCCCCAGACCCCCCCAGGCCCTCCAAGATAGCCTGGAAGAGACCCCTCCCCGAAATGAGACCCCCCTCCCTTTATTACGAAATCTGGAGTAGCATTTCCGGGCTGTTCCCAACGGCAGCGGCGACGACAGAAAAGCAACGCTACCTCAGCAGAGCAGCCCGGTAGTAGCAGAGAGGAAGAGGCGGGTCGAGGCGCCGGAGGCCGGCTCGCGGAGACCTGCGCTCCTAGGTATTCCTCTAGGGATCTTCATGACAGCTGCAGCCAGGACATGACGCGTGCGAGGTACTTGGCGGCGACGTGCGAGCTGGCGCTCTGCGTCCTTCGTCGGGGACTTCGCGGTGAAGCAGGCATCCTCCACCCGCTCGACATCGAGGGGTAGCCTGAGGAATTTCCAGTGGGACTACTCCAGAGCTAGGGTGTCCCACCAACCAGTGAGCAGCCAGGACATGGGGTGAGAGCACCGCCACTTGCACCACAGCTGGTTTTTTACAAGGGATCGTGGCCAGCCAGACCAAGAGTGGGGGGGATGTCTCGGGCATTTTGCTTGTATCGGTGCTCAACATCCTCCTCAGTCGAAGCAGTTTCCGAGGATGTCTCAGGCGAGGCGCTGGTTTCAGAACTCCCAAGGGGGGCTTCCAGGGGGTATGTCACGGGCCCCTTCGCACCCAGATGGGGTGGATGTTTCAGGGGGTTTGTTTGTTTGGGTGCTCAACATCCTCCTCTTTCGGAGGAGTTTCCGAGGATGTCTCAGGCGAGGCGCTGGTTTCAACACTCCCCAGGGGGGGCGCCGAGGGGGTATTGCACGGGCCCGTTTTCGTCTGCACGGATGCATTGTCCTGACAGGTGTTCATAGGGAAAGGAGGAGAAAGAGGAGGAGGAGGAGAAGGAGGAGGAGGAGGACGAAAGGAGGAAACAACTACTTAAAGTCGTCGTGGTCGTCGGCGTCTCTCTCGGCCTCGTTTTCCACGTGGATTCGTTGACGCCCTGAGATTGAAAAAAGACAATGTCTTCGGCCGAAATTTGCCATCAATATGAGCTGCACATATGGGGATCCCCGCCTCGAGTAATTGTTCAGCTGGTTCTAGTAATGCCAATTTGAATCCGCATGAGACATTTGTTTGGGCTTTCGATACCAACTTGAAAAGACTTCAGTGGTCGCACTGCCAACTTACATCTTGATGATTGTACTGCTGACGATTGCACTGCCAGCTGTTGTGTTTCTCTCCATGTGATGGAGAGTATCTCCCTTCGTCGAGGCGGCGCATGGTCTGCAAACCGATTGCCGTCGCAGGTCACCTGCACGGTATGGGAAGCGGCGGCGTGGTAGGCCTGGCGATGGCCTGCGCGCTGCTCTCGACGCGCCCATCACGCTTGGGCGGTCAAGAGCTCCTCTTCCTCCTCCTCCTCCTCCTCCTCCTCCTCCTCCTCCTCCTCCTCCTCCTCCTCCTCCTCCTCCCCCTCCTCCTCCTCCTCTCCTGCGCTCGTCGCTGGTCCTCTCCTCTCTTCCTCCCTCCGCCCCCCCCCCCACTGGGGCCTGGGGGGCCCACTGCGCGAGGAGCCCCCGGGCCCTCGCGCTCCCCGCAGGGCTCAATGGGCCCTGGGGCCCCGCCGGGCGGCCCGCCCCCCCGCGCCGCCCGCCCATGGGCCTCTGCGAGTCGAACGACCCGGCGTGCCCCTGCCAGCCGGAGCGCACGGCCAGGCGTGGGCTGCGCTCCCCTCCGCTCGTCCGGACTCGTCTCTCCGCTCGTCCTTCCTTGCCGCCTGCCGCCTGCCGCAGCCTTCCCTCCCGCCGCGGCCGTCCCTACCGCCTCCTCCCGCTTCCCGTCCTCCCGCCTCCGCGCCTGCGCGGCACGGTCTCTTCTGCCCGGGGGCCCCGCGCCACGGCGGCGCCGCTCCGTTCGCTCCTCAGTCAGGCTGTTTCGAGGTCGTCGTCGTCGTCGTGGTCGTCGTCGCCGGTCGTGGTCGTCGTCGCCGTCGTCGTCGTCGTCGCCGTCGTCGTCGTCGCCGTCGTTGTCGTCGTCGTCGTCGTCGTCGTCGTCGTCGTCGTCAGCGTTCGTCGTCGTCGTCGTCGTCGTCGTCGTCGTCGTCGTCAGCGTTCGTCGTCGTCGTCGCCGATCGTCGTCGTCGTTGCCGTCGCCGTCGTCGCCGTCGCCGTCGTCGCCGTCGTCGTCGTCGTCGTCGTCGTTTTTGGGGAGGGCGCTTCGGCCACCAGGGTCAACGCCGCCTCGGGCGCGGTGGGTTCGGCGTTGGGTTTGCCGCGCTTTGCCGTCTTCGCCTGCCTGTGGCGCTTTGCGCAGGGTCCGCCGCGGGCTTGCCGCTGTGTCGCGGCGGCATGCTTGGGACTGGAAGGCTCTCCCGCACGGCGAACGGAAGGGTGCCCGAATGCGCGGTCCCGCTCTCCGACGGCTTTCGGCGTCCCCCCAGCATACTTATGCTAAGTGTTCGTCGCCCCCCCAGGGGCGACGCGCGCACCGAGAAATCTTATAGTATATGCGTCGTGGCGGGCGCTTTCTGGCCACACCGCTCGAGACACGATATACTACAAGATGGGTGCACTATAGGTTCGGGTCGGACGCGCGCCTTCAAGGCGGACATATAGTATTAGTATGCCTCTGTGCGTCCCAGGCTTGGCGAAGTGGGAAATAAAACGCGAACTGCTCACGGGCGTAAGCGGAACTGCAGAACAAAGAAACTCCCAGCGCCGCGCTGCAGCGCCAACCTCACATGCAGCCTGCCCTCGGGCGGCGGCGGCCAGATCTCCGATGGATCGCCTCGAAGCAGGGCTGGACCTAAACACTGTTTTGCTGGAGGTTCGGGTGTGGTTTGCTTTTCGTTTTTGCTGGGAGGCACGGGAAAACAGGTAGAGCAGAACGAGCAACATAACGAACACACAGCAACACATAACGAACACATAACGAACACATAACGAACACATAACGAACACATAACGAACCCTGCCTCGGAGAGCAAGAGTGCGCCGCGCCGAAGCAGCACCGACAGTTTCGCTCGAACTGCCCGGCGCCTCCGCGAGAACGCGCACGCCATGCCGCCACGCCCTCGCGCGGCACGGGCGCCGCTGCCGCTCTCCGTGCGGCTCGGCGAGGGAAGCCGCGCGCGCCGAGCCCGCGCGGGCGCGTGCTCTCTCCCTGCGAGCTCAGCAGCGATGTGTCGAGCTGAAGACCTGTTCTGTGCGGCGCCCTGGCCGGAGCGACGGTGTCGCCCGTTCGCGCGTCGACGAGCCGGCGTGCGAAGGGCACGTCTCGGCATTGCTCGGACGTGTGCACTTTTTTTTCTCGGCGAGGACCATCGAAGAGCATCCTGGATCATCGAGCAAGAGAAACACGCACAAAACCGAAAAACGCACAGGGGATGGACGTCCGAGCGACGGCAAGACGCGCGCCGCGCCCAGGCGGGGATGTCTGGCTCTCAGGGGGAGGGGCGCGGCGCCGAGGCGAGAGCGGCACACTTGGCCCCCCTTGCGGGGGATGTGCGCCCCGCGATGCTCCTGCCGCGCATGCTGCAAGAGCGACGGCAAAAACTCAAGGCTGATCGGGAACGCGTTCCGTGTATGTTTTCTGACTGGTCGGGCGGAAGGTCCTCGACGAGATTGCGATCTCCCGGCTAGGTGGCCCAGTAGGAATATGCACGAGGCAGGGACGACGGTCGGAGTGTCAACAGTGCTTTTCGTCTTACGGGTAGTGGGAAGCATGAAAGTAAAACGAGCAGGGAGAGGAAGGATGGTGATGGAGAAGGACGGTGAGGGAAGTGGATTGGCGGCGCGCTGAGGGGGGTGGCGCGAGGGGGGTGGGCTTCTAAGACGGCGGCGGGGTCTCTGAGAGGGCAGGGGCCTTCCTCGAAGCGCCCGGCAGCTTTTGAGAAGCCTTCTCATGCGCCTTTGGGCGCTCCTGAGAAGGCCTCCGCCTTGCTGGGAGCCCCGCCACATTCTTAGAAGCCTCCCCCCTCGCGTCACCCCCGTGTGCGCGCCGCCATATAGGAGGAGAAGGGCGTTCAATTTATGGTGGGGGCTTCCGTGAAGGAATGTGTCCAGGAGGCTTCAGACCCTGGAGGATTCTTTGTCTGATGAGGGTGGCGGTGACATCCACGGCCGCGCGTCCACTGGTGTTCCACCGGTTTCCAGACCCTAGGTTCCTTGTTCGAGGGTTGTGTATCCAATGCCCTCACCGTGTGGAGATGGCCGCGACCCACCCACGTTGCTTTGACGAGCAAATCGGTGCCTGCGGTAGGCCTTCTGTGTAATGTGTGAAAAAGCATCGGCGCATGCGGCGGGCTTTTTCAAAGCTTCGCAGACTGCCGACGACAACGCCGCCCCCTCATTCTCATTTACGGGTTGCTTCGACCACGCGCAGGGGGGGGGGGCAGGGTGAGGTGGGACGGCTTCTTAGAAGCATCCCTGCCTCTTAGAAGGCTCGGGCCTTGTTTATAGATGTAAGGCCAGCGCCTCCTAAGAACAGCTTCATTCTAAGAAGCCTTCCCCCCTCCCCTTACCCGCTTGTGTGCGCCGCCAACAGCCGGCCCTGATTGGTTGGTCGACAATGCCAAATCAAGGGTTTTCTTGCGTCCTGTCTATCCCGACCCATGCACCCCGCACTTCCTGTGGTGTTTTGGGGCCGACCCTGCCGTCGGAAGAGTCTTGTGTCCTCTCTCTGGACGCCCGAAATGGGCACGGAAAGAATGGGTACTATGCCCAACAGCAGTTCCTGTTCATTTTGAACAAGATCCGCTGTCCACGCCGCCGCGGCCTGTGTCCATTCGAGACAGAAGGCCGCCTGCCCGACAGCGGCCGCTGTTGGTTTGGGACAACATTTGTTGTTGGGCATCGTACCCATTCTTTCCGTGCCCATTTCGGGCGTCCAAACTCTCGGGTGTCCTGTCCAGTCAGGTCCATGTCCAATGCCCTCACCCTAACCTCCCCCCTCGAAATCAAGCGCAAGTTTTTTGTGCGCGACGTCGCGGCGCCCCAGGACCCCAAGCTTTCAGTGTCCGCGCCGAAAGGGGCGACTGCAGACGCAACAGTCGGACCCCGTGGGCCGCGCTCTTAGTTTTACAAAACGCAGGGGGCGCGTGTTTTTTTGTTGTTGTCCACTTCTCGCTCGTGGCTCGACCAGAACGTGTCAAGAACGGCACCCCGAAAGTGGACGTCGGGCCGTCGGCACTGCGGCGCCCACAACACGTTGTGAACGCCATAAAAGCGGAACGCAAACGCGCAAGTGGTCCACGGGCCGCCCGGGACCTGCACACGTAGCAAGAGCGGTGCCCATCATGGACAGCACGCGCCGATTTGAAGAAGAGCGGAACAACAACGCCCCCAGCGCTTTCGCACGATTTGAAAAAGAACAAGAACATTGACAAGAACGGAAGATCATCCAAGGCGGCGCTTTGCGCGTCGACCAGCACTGACCACTTGCGTCTGCTTTCGAGGGGGGGGGCGTCTGTCCGCTGCCCTCACCGTCTGGAGGTGGCGGGGGCTTTCCGCCCACGGGGCAGCCTCGGCCGCCCCAGGCGCCACCCGGCGCCGCACAGCGCCGCCGCCTCGACGCTCGAGGCGGAGCAGCTGCGGCTCTGGCAGGAGGCGCCGTCCAGCCCGCTCTCCGTGAGGTCCTGTCCTTGTCGTCGTCGTCGTCGTCCTCCTCCTCCTCCTCCTCCTCCTCCTCCTCCTCCTCCTCCCTGTCCTCCTCCTCCTGCTCCTCCTACTTTTCCTCCTCCTCCTCCTCCTCCTCCTCCTCCTGCTCCTCCCCAGTCCCGCCTGCGGAAGGGTAGAAACAAGCTGCCGACCGATCGGAGGCTGCTCTGGGCGTGTTCGTGCAGATGTGTACTGGGGAAGCAGGCTCCCAGCTGCCGTGCCCCTGCCCACTGGCGTGCCCATTGGGTCCGCCCCGCGATCGTCGGGGCTGCGGAGAGCGTCGCCATCGTATGTGTGTGTGTGTGTCGTTCGGGGTCCCACTCGCTGTGCTTGACTTTCTCCGCCTCGTCGCTGCGCGCGAGGCCGCGGCCGCCTCGCCAGTGCGCACGCTTCTTCGACCTCCTGCGCCGCGCCGCCGCGCGCGCGGCCGTGACGCCCCAGCGAAAAGGTGCGTGCGTGGGCCCGTCGGTGCTGGCCTGGGCAGGCAGATCGAGTGCGCGCGCGGAGCCCCACCTGAGGCTGCTCTCGACCCCATCTGAGGCTGCTCTCTCGGTCGACATCCAGGCCTCGGAACAAATTTGCGAGCACATGCCACATTCAACGGTCAACGCCCCCCCCTCCCCCCAATGTTCAAAGTTGGCGGTGAGTCTGATGGGATGCACTTCGACCGCAGTGTCCCCCGCGCGTGCCAACATCGAGTCTGGGGGGGAGGGGGAGTGTTCAGTAATTGTTTCCCTCCACCGTCTGTCTCCGCCTCGCGGCCCACGCCGGGTGCCCGCCAGAGGTCGCGGTGGCCCGTCGGCCCCCCCCCCCCTCCCCGACAGCCACACCTCCTCCTCCTCCTCCTCCTCCACCTCCTCCTCCTCCTTCTCCTCCTCCTCCACCTCCTCCTCCTCCTCCACCTCCTCCTCCTCCTCCTCCTCCTCCTCGGCGTGTGCATCCGCTCGGCGGGGAGGCCCGCTCGCCCCACCTTGGCGCGAGACGGGCGGGCATCGGCGTGGGCCATTGGCGGGCGGAGGACGTCGAGCTCCTCGGTCGAGGAAGCAAAGGCGCCATAGACATACATTTTACGCCATGGGCATAAGCTACTAGCGCTCCGCGCGGACCTCTCGGATCCGCGCTGGGCCCCCCCCCCCCGCGGAGGCTCCGCGCGCCAGGGAGGTGGGTCCAGCGCGGATCCAAGAAGTCCGCGCGGAGCGCCAACAGTTTATGCCTTTTTTTCTCTCTTCTCTCTTCTATCTGGAAAAGGCCTCGCCTTCGATGATCAAAAGGAGTTGGCGTCTCTTCCGGCGGCAGGTGGCGGATTGCCAGCGGGCGGCGGCGGAGGCAGAACGGCGGCGGGGGTCCGCCGGCGGAAGAGCTGGCGGAGGGCCAGCATAGGCCAGCGGAAGCAGAGGATGCGCCCCCGAGAGACGGCAAGGCATTTTTGCTTCGGTGCCTCAAGGGCCGGCCACGTGTGCTGGGTCAAGCTCAACGCTTCCACGCCGGAGCGCTCTCCCCTCCCCCTCCCCCCCCGCGCGGCCACCCTCGTCTCGTTTCCTCCCTTTGCTGCACGCCAGCCGGTTCGCCTTCCGGCTGCCCCGAAGAGCCACACGCTGGAGCGGACTGCCTCTGCCTCGCCGCCGACGGACAAAAATGGCGGGTCAAGCTCTCCGAACCGTTATGTCCCCCGCATCTTGAGCACCACTTTCGCAGACGACAGACGACAACTCGACGACGCCTACCGCCGCCAGCCTGACCACATCCTGAGGGGAAGCCGTCCTCTTCGACGAGTTGACTGGCCAGCGTCTCCACCACCTGGCAACGATGTGGGCTGGGTCACCGAGCAGGCCCTCCATGAGGAATTCGTCGCCGTGCCTCTGCATGGCCGTCCACTCAACACCCAGCACGCGCTGAAGGTTGAGGGCGCGTACCTGGACGTGGCCCCTGTCCCTGAACCCAGCGCTCTCTGCATGACCGCTCAGGCTGATACTTTAGCCGGGCCACCCGTGCTGTGGCGCGCTTGTCGCGCACGGGGCGGCTGCTTATGTCCACGGCTGCCAAGGCCACCACCACGCGGTTCCCGGGGGCCAGCGTGTGCACCAGTGGCCTCGACGTCCAATATCGCAGCACCAAGAATCGGGGGCGGCAAAGAGGGGGGTGATGACTAGGGGGGGGTGGATATCATGGCGTGGGCCATGATATTTCCCCAGATTTCATGGCGCCTCTTCTTATTTCATTACGTCCCTGGCCCCCCCGCTGGGCCGCGCACATGCCGCAGGTCATGATTTGCACCCCCCCCTCTTGGACACCCCCCTTTTTGCCGCCCCCGAAAGAAGATGCGTGCGAACGTCAACGCTCTGTCTGACGTGCCCTGCCCGGACGGCCGCGTCCGGCTCCGCTCCTGCGGTCTCATGGCGGCCAGCATCCAAGGCCGCGCCACTGAACGCTCGGCCGTCGCTCAGCTCGAGATCTTCCTGGCGGTTCGGCGGCAGCGGTAAGTCGGGCCTGTCCCTCTATAAGAGGAGTATTCGAAGTAGTCAAAAAATGCTGTCGGGATGATTCTTCTGTTGCTTTTGACTGTTTTCGAATATATTTTTGGCAATTTTCAGCTTTCGCCCCAAATCCGCCTGTAGGAGGACATGCCCGACCTCACGCCAGTGTCTGGCGGGACCCCCGCCGTTTCGACATGGCCGCTCATCTCTGCGCCGCCATCCGGCACAACCACAGGGGGGCCGTCGGCCGCTGGCACCAAGCTTCGGCCCAGCTCCAGTCAGTGAGCGTGGCCCACCCTCTTGGTCTTCCACCTCGACCTCGGGGACGCCATCGACTGGCCCCATGGCCACTGCGCAGTGTCTGCTGCACGCCCCGCTTGTCGTCACCCTCGGGAGCCTACTGGGCTCTGCCCGTTGGCTTGCCAAGTATTGGGCCTGACTCGCGGCGTAGCTTGCACTCCTCAGCCTGCTTGTTCCGCGGGGCTCACATGTACGCGCCCCGTAAGTGCGTCATCACGGTCGCCGCTTCTCTGCTAGTCACGGGCTTCCGCTGCGCAGGCTGCGTGCCGCACGGCGCGCCCGTGCTTCCCAGGGGACCCTGACCGTGCCGGCGGCTTGCCAGTGCTCATCTCTTCTCGGGGGCTGCGCGGGCCGTTGCCACGACAGGTCGGTGCGACGGCCTGTGCGCCGCCGTGACCTAGAACTCTCGTCAGCTGCGAGCCCCCCCCCTCACCCCAGAAGGCGAAAACCCACCCCCACCCCCAGTCCCGACTCCCATCCTCGAGCCGGCGATGCAAGGGGTCGGGACTGGGGGTGGTGGTGGGTTTTCTCAATCGTTGGGCCCCGACCCCCCCCCCACCCCCGGTCCCGACCCCCTAGATCGCGGGTTCGGGCATGGGGTCGGGACTGGGGTTGGGGGTGGGTTTTCGCCTTCTCATCACCCTCCCCCACTCTCCCGCCCTTCCAAGGGCCGACCCCCTCCCCCCTCTCGCCACCTTCCCCCCCGCGTTGCCGCGCGCCGGGCGCGCGCGCGCGCGAGGAGCTGGACGGCGCCCCGCCCCGCGAGGGCGACGAGCAGGAGAAGCGCAAGGGGGGGGCTGGCGGGCGGCGTGGGCATCACGCCCCCCGCCTCTCTGCGGCAGGTTCGCGCGGCGACGGCGCGCGGGCGGTGCTGGCGAAGGCCTTCCAGGTGGAGTCCTGCGACGCGGAGGCACCCAGGGGCACACGGTGACGCCACGAGACCCAGCGGAGGTCAGCCTTGAGCGATGGGGGCCGCCATCGAAATGCGGGGTGGAAGGATCGACGCGGCGGCAGAAACCTTTGCGCGCGCGCCGACGCCGCGCGAACCTGCCGCGCGCCCCCACCTCGCAAGACTGTCCCTTGGCGCAAGCCGAACGTGGAGGGAGTGGGGCCGCGCATCGGCGCGCGCGCGTGCAGGCGCAGGTGTGCGATGGGGCCCTCCTGGGGCCGTCTTGGGTCAGTCGTGGGACCAGCCTGGATCGGCAGCGAGCAAGGGGGGGGGGGAAGTGAGAAGGAGAAGGCCTTCTCAGGAGGATCGGAAGTCCCCCTGCCTTCTGAGAAGTTTCCCAAGCTTTGCCCAGACACGCAGAGAACCTTCCCCAGAAGGCCAGAGGCCTTCTGAGAAGCCCTGCCACGTTCTGAGAAGGCCTTCTCCTTCTCATTTCCACCCCTTCGCTCGCCGCCGAGTCTTGGGGCCATCCTGGGAACGTGTTCTGGCGCAGGTCCGGTGGCGCTGTTGAGTCGTGGCCGGCTTTGAAGGGACTGGGGTGTCTCTTGGGACCCTTTCGGGCCGTCCTGGGGCTCTCCTGGACCGCCGTGAGGCTCTCTTGTGCCGTCTTGGGGCCTTCTTGAGGATCTCTTGAGGCTCCTTTTGGGCTGTCTTGGGGCGATCCTGGGGGTCTCTTGGACCGTCTTCGGCGTTCCGAAGCTCGAAGAGGCGAGCATGTGAACATCATGAAAGCTGGCAGGTTTGACGATTTCTGTTTCTTCCAGGCCTCTCGGGGTCCTCTTGGGCCGTATTGGGGCCATGTTCTACATGGACTCTATCTTGAGCAGTCTTGAGCCGACCTTGGGCCGACTTGTAGGTTACCTTGGGCCATCTTGGCAGTCTTGGCCGCGAGGAAGGCCTTCGAGGGCCACCTTAGCCGTCTTGAAGGCGATGGCATGCCGTCCTTGTGGCGCGGGGTGAGGGGACTTTAGAGGAGTCCCTGCACCACCTGTTGATGCTGCTCCTCCTCCTCGTCCTACTCCCTCCGTCCTCCCTCCTCCCTCCTCCTCATCCGCCTTCCTTGCCCTCCTTCTGCTGCTGCTCATCCTCCTCCTGCTCCTTCCCCTTCTTTCTTCTGCGCCTGCTTCCTCGCTCCTCCCTCCTCCCTCCTCGTCCGCCTCTCCCTATCTCCCTTTCTCTCTCTCTCTCTCTCTCTCTCTTTCTCTCTCTCTCTCTCTCTCTTGTTCTTCCTCTCTATCTCTCTGTGTATATGTATATCTATATACACCCCTCGCTCCCTCTCTCTCTTTCTCTCTTTCTCTCTACTCTCTTCTTGATTTACCCTTCATGTCTTTTCCTATCGTCTCTTATGATCCCTTCCCATCCCGTTTCTTCGCATCTTCTTTTTGATATGATCATACATTGCAGTCTCTTCTCTCATGCTATCTCGTAGTATACTATCATCTCTTCTGTCCGCTCCTGTTTTCTCGCCTTCTCTTCTAATGCGTCTTTTTCTTTTATATCATGTCCTCTTAGCTTCCTTTAAATGCCCATACATGGTCTTCCCTTACCTTCTTTTCCCTAGCCTTGTCTGTTCTTGTGCCATACGTCACATCCGAGTTTTTTTCTCAATTCGTGCCATGTCGTATCGACTCTGCTCGCCTCAGCTTGTATATCATCATCTCGTCGCACCGCATCGCATCTCTGTCCATCTCATTTGAGTTCGTATAATCTAGTATTGCCTCATCTCATCTGTTACCATACCATCTCATATAACCCCATGCCACACCATCTCAGGTAATATCGTCTCGTCTCATCTCATCTCATGTCATATCATCTCATCTTTTTTTCATTTCATCTTTTTTCATACCAAATCATCTCTTCTCATACCAACCCATACCACCTCAACTCATTTCATCTCATCCCATATAATACATCCCATCTTATCTTAGCTCATCCCATATTATCTCATGCCGTATCCTAACATCTTATCTGATTCCACCCCATCCAACCTCATCTCGTTTTATCCCATCCCATCCGATCCCATTCCTTTCCTTCCCTTCGCCTTCCATTCCATCCCATCCCTTCCCATCCCATCCCGTCTCATCCCATCTCATATCATCTCATCTCGTCTCATCCCATCTCATTATATCTCATATCATGTTGTCCCATCTCATTCCAGCTCAGCTCATCTCATCCCATCCCATCCCATCCCATCTCATATCATCTCACCCCATGCCATCTCATGCCATCTCATGCCATCTCATATCATCTCATCTCCCCTCCCCTCCTCTCATCTTATCTCATCCCACTTCATCGCATCTCATCTCATCTCATCTCATCTCATCTCATCTCATATCATATCACCTCATATCATCTCATTCCGTTTCATCTCATCTCATTTCATCTAAGTTCCTCTAACCTCATCGCACGTATTTCCCTCTCTCCCGCCCTCCCTCCCTGTCTCCCTCCCTCACTCCTTCCCTCCTTGTCCATCCCTTCAATGGTCCACCTCCCGCTAATCCCGCTCCTCCTTCTCCCTCCTCTCTTTCCTTTCCATCCGCTCCCTCCATCCTCTTCCTCCCTCCGGCGTCCGATCCCTTGCTCGTCTTCCTCCCTCCTTCCCTGCATCCCTCCCTCGTCCGCCTTCCCACTTGCTCCTTCTCCTCCGCCTCCTCCTCCTCCTCTTCCTCCTCTTTCTCCGTATCCTCCTACCCCTGCCTCCACCTCCTGTTCCCGCCCCCTCCCTCCCTCCTCCCTCTTCTCCTCCACCTTCTCGCTCGCGCGGGGGGTGGAGGAGAGGAGGTGGAGGTGCCCATGGGGGGCGGCACTCGCATTCCAGCAGACGAGGGGGCGGACGGGTGTCCCCCAGGAGTATTGGCCGAGGCACTGGCGCCTCGCCGCGCGCGCGAAGCGCTTCCCCGCGCGCCCGCCAGCTCCGACCTCGTCGACGCCTCACAGGCTGACGCACTCCGCCTCAAGAAGCGCAGCATTGATACGCTGTCCGTGCACCAGCCCAGTCCGATCCCCCCCCCGCCGAGCAGGAGGACGTGGTGGTCGCGCTGCAGGCAGAGATCTGGCGAGAGTGCGCCAGGCGCGTCACGGAGGGCGCGCGGGCGCGCCCGCGGCCAGTGCAGGACCGCCGCGGGGGGGGGGGGGGCACCTGTTGGGCCCCGTGTGCCTGGCTCGGGGCCACCCTGGGCCCTGGGGCACTGCGCAGGCCTTCCGGGCCTCGTCTCGGGCTTGTGCTCGGGCTCGGGCCTGGGCTCGGGCCAGGGCTTGCCCCTCGCGCTCGGGCTCGGGCTTGCGCTCGGGCGTGGGCTCGTGCGGGGGGCGTGCGCATCATGCCCGGGGTCCAGCCCTGGCTGGGCACGGCGGTGGTGGCGTTGTGCAGGCCCTGGAAGGAGTTAGCGAACACTCATGCCACCTTCGGCCGTCAGTGCCCTCCCCCAATGATCAGTGTTGGCGGTGGGTTGCGTGAGCTGCTCTTCGACCGCAGTCTTCCCCCGCGCGTGCCAACTTTCCCTTTCGGGGACGGGGGGAACGCTCCCCGATCGTGTCCCCCCACCGTGCGGGCGCCCCTTCTGCTCAGGACATTCGCGTGCGGCCGCGGTCCCTCCTTCTGGACGAGGAGGTGCTCGCCGCCGCCACGACGCTGGACTGGAAGCTGGCGGACCTCCCAGGGGGGAAGAGCACAGACACGTCCACGGGCTCGCGGCCCCGTCTCCTCGGCTTGCGACCCCCAATGGGCACGGGGCCGCGCTGCGCGGCTGCCCCGCGCGGTGATGAATCCGTGGGATCGCGCATCCAGCGACGAACGAACAGCACACACACACACACCCATACCCATGAGAGGGTTGGAGGGGGGAGGACTGGCTACGGGTATGGGTGCGGGTTGTCGGACCGCTGGGGAGGCTCTCGTTCGAGCGGGGACCTCCATCCGACAACACGCACCCATAGCCCCCTCCGTCCCCCCTGTGGGTATGTGTGTATGTGTGTGTGTGTGTCTGTGTGTGTGTGTGTGTGTGTGTGTGTGTGTCTGCGTGTGTTGTTCTTTCGCCATCTATGGGATCGCGACTCGGGGCCCAGACCGCGAGGGCATGCGGATATGCCGCATGCCCGTCGCCTGTGAGGACTTCGGCCTGCGTGCCCGGCCCATCAAGGGCGACGGCGCGTGCCAGTTCCGGGCCGTGGCTGACCAGCTCTGGCGGGACCAGGCGCCTGCAGGAGGCAGCTGCACACCACAGCCGTGCCTGCCCAGGGCCATCCTGGGCCCTGGAACGGTGTGTGCGCCTTCCTGGCAGAGGGCAGGAGGAGGAGGAGGAGGAGGAGGAGGAGGAGGAGGAGGAGGAGGAGGAGGAAGAGGAGGAGGAATAATAATAATAGTAGTATTAATAATAAGCATAATGCTCATAATAATATGAATAATAAAATAAGAGTAATACGAATATTATTATTTCTTAAGACGAAGAGTAATAATACGAATCTTAAGAATAATAATACGACTAAGAATAATAATGATACGAATGCTAATACTAATAATATTACCGATACTAATACTAATACTATTAATACTATGACTACTAATAATAATATTACTAGTAATGATGATAATACTAATAATAAAAGCACTAACAGTAATAATCATACTAATAATAATGATAATAATAATAATAATATTAAAAATAATAATATTATAAATACAAATAATAATACTAGTAATAATAGGAATACTAATACTAATACTAGTGTTAATAATAATCCTAATAATAATAATCATACTACTACTACTAATACTACTAATAATAATAACAATATCAATAATAATAATATTAATAATATTACTAATATTAATAATAGTATTATTATTATTATTATTATTATTAATCATACTAATAATAAAAAGAATAATAATCATAATAATAATATGAACATTCAGAATATGAAA